GCCACGACGCCGAAGCAGTGGGACTGCGAAGATCACTGGCGAAGCCTTGCCAAGCCCCACCACGCAAGGCCGTCCATGGTGACCGCAGCGGAGCGGCGACCCTGATGGACCACCAGCCGAGCACAGCCAACCACCGAGGCCAACCACCACCGAGGCCAGGCTGAACTCCCGGCCCCCTCGGTGCAGCCACCTCTGCCACGCCCTCCTCCAACTCGTCCCACAGTCAGCTTCAGGAGCCCGCCAGCCGCGGACCCACTCCGGTGCCCGTCAGTAGCTCCACGTTCTACGCCTTCCCCCATGAGCCCCCTTTAGTTAGTCTTGGCCATCCTGATCGCGATGATGCGCCGTGCCGCCACGTTCATCGTAGTCGCCAGGTCGTCACAACTGATGGCGTCCGCGATCGGGGCAAGTGTCCGCACCTCGATGAGATCGCGCAGCAATGGGGGAGGCCCGCGTGCACCTGAGCCCGCCGACCGACCGAGAACTGACGCAGCATCTCGGCTGGTTTCCGAGGCGCAGCCATGGTTCAGCTTGCGGCGCGCCAGCGAGAGGAGGTGCCCCGAGGGAGCCTCAGGATGCTTGGCCGCGAAAGCGCGGAGGTCCCCCTTGGCCTTGCACTTCTCGGTCTCCAGCTTCCTCTCATGCACTGGGTCCACACGGCATTCCTTGGCTTTCGGACGTCCTCACTGCAAGTATTCGCTGCTGCTGCTGGTGCTGATGGGCTTCCCGCTGCTGGACGAGTCGGTGTTGGAGTCTCGCTTCCTGTTCTTCTTCTAACCATTATTCTCTTTTGTTCTTCTTTGTTCTTCTTTGTCGGGTCCTTCATGCCTTGCCTGTTTTCCCTTGTACTTCCGTGCAAAGGCTTGCCACCACCGCCGCTCTGGACCTGGCCCTGCAGCGAGCGCACCTCCTGCAGCATCCAGGCCAGGTCCAGCGCCGAGGCGCCTGATGCCCCTCGGGCGGGGCTGGGCGGGCCCACCGCCGCGAGACCCAGCCCCGCGGCAGCCCCTGGCGCCGCCGCGGCTGCGCCTGGTGCCGCGGCAGCCGCGGGACCTGCCGCGCCCGCCGCGGCTGACGCCGCCGCCACCAGGGCACCCCCCGACGGCGGTGGCAGCGGCCCTCCGGGCGGCATGAACATGGGCAGCGCAGGCAGCTGCGACCCCGCGTCGACCGCCGCCCCAGCGCCCAGCACGTGCGCTGTCGAGGCCGTGTCCACGCCCTGGGCTTTCAGCTGCACGGCGGCCAGCTCGGTCACGCCGGGGCTCCATTGGGCCGCTGCGAGGGTACTCCGAAGGCACTCCTTGAAGGGCGCCGCGTACGTGCGGCGAGCCGCTGCCAGGCGCGATGGCAGCGCGGAAGTGGCCCGGCACCAGCCGCGCCAGCACACACACACACACACACAGAGTTAGTGCCCGTCTGGGCGGTGGTGATGCCGAGGCAGAAGTCCTCGTATCTCACCTGCCCGAAAAGCAGTACCTCGTTCCTCTCCGCGCCGCGGCTGACGAGCACCCACGACGGCGCGGCGGCGCAAGTGTCGATGCCACATTTCGGCGGCACCTCCGCCGGAGCCTGCTCGAGAGCGATAGGTGCAGCTGCGAGCCCGCGACGAGCTACGCCCCCGGCCACCCGAGCCCTGTAAAGGCCACACAGCCACTCGAGGTGCCTGCTGCAGCACGTCCCGCCAGCACGGGCCACCTTGAAGACAGCGTCTCACGCCCGGCGAAGACTACGTCCCGCCCGCTCGGGAGCCTTGAGGCGGGGGTCGGTGCAAACGAGGGTCAGCCAGCAGAGCGTTTTTTTTTGTTTGTTTTTTTCTCTGGCGGGTAACGCTTGTTATCCGGCCTCCCCCCCCCCTCCCAGGTAACGCTAACGATCATACTTTTTTTTGGGGTGGAGGGCGGACCCCCCTCCTCTCAGCAGGTATGGCGTTGTGCTCACAGGCATGGCGTGGTGTTCAAAGGCATGTGTGGTCGTAGCGTGTTGTGGCTTTCGCAGGTTCCCCACCTGTTGCGGCGACGAATTCACAGGCATGGCGTGGTGTTAAAAGACACGTTTCGGTGCTCACCTGCCTGTTGCGGCGCCTGCAGGGTATTGCAGTGCGCAGACTAGTGTGGTTTACGCCTACTTCCCTATGTTCTCTTCCCCTGCTTTTCCTACTGGTGGAACTCTGGAAGCAATGCTGCCAGGGGATTTCGCAGCCACGTCTGGGTGGAGCAACGGTTATCCCGCGTCTGGTGCACTTGGCGTTGACGAGCGCGAGGCGACGTCGAACGATGCCATGAGTGCAGTTGCTGTATGGCATAACATAATCCTACCTCCTCCCGCCTGCTCCACCGACTATTAACATACTCCCCCTTCTTCGTCGTCCTCTGCCCCTCCTTCTCCTCCTCTACTTCCTCCTCCCCTCTGGATTGTGCTGTGCGTTATTGGGATTATATAGGTGGCCGTTTGAGGGAGGAAAGGGGGAGGAGAAGGAGGGGGAGGGGAGGAGGCGGAGGGGGAGGAGGACCAGACGCAGGAGGAGGAAGACGAGGAGACAATGCGTTGCACACAAGCTCTGTGGCGCACGCGGCTGTTGCACTGTACAAGAACACTTCGGTGTACACGGGCGACGTGGTGAGGGCTTCGTGGTCTGTAGCGGGCCCCGCAACAAAAAGTTTCGCAAACTATTGATGTGCCCGTTGGCGCGCGTTGTTGCGGACAGGCGTTGTGGTGCACGGAAGCACTGTGGCCTGCGCAGGCGTTGTGCTGCACATGGTTGCTGTGCTGCACGCAGGCGCTGCGGTGTACGCTTTGCGCGCACGGTTGCTGCAGTATGCACAGATATTGCGGCCTACATGGGCGACGTGGTGGCGTTGTGCACGCACCTGTTGTGGTGTACCGTAGCGTTGTGGTGCACCCAGGCGGCGTTGCTTTGCACGAGTGCAGCGTGTGGCACTGTCGCGTGCGCAGGGGTTGCGGCGCGCGCAGGCAATTTATGTGCCGATGGCGCGGACACACCCTGGCGGGCGCACGCCGCGGCCGCCATTACCGTTACCCGCCGGCCCAAAACCCCCCCCACCCCCCCGGGCAACAGCCGTTACCCAGAATAATTAAAAACAGTCTCCCGAGCGCTGGATTTTGCAGGACCCTGCAGAACCAGGGGCGCATTGACATTGGCCGGGGCGCAAGATCCGGTGGGATCCCCCCGGACTTTGCAGGAAAGCCTGATTGACCCAAGTTTGCGCTGACCCAGGCCAGTAGATCCCCGACCCGCCTGCGATGCCCCCATCGGCGGCGGACGAGGGGGGGGGGAAATGAGAAGGGAAAAGGCCTTTTCAGAAGGCGGCGGGACTTCTCGGAAGCCCCCGCGCCATCTGAGAACCTCCTGCTGCCGTCGCGGAAGGCTCCGAAGACTTCTCAGGCGGCCGGGGGACCCCCGAGCCTTCTGAGAAGGCCTCCTCGTGGCCTCTCCCCCGCTCGCCGCCAATCCCGGGCGCGAGCGAGCAAAGGGCAGCAGGAGCATTGTCGGCGCGTGCGGGGCCCCCGCCCGGCCCCAGCGCCCAGCGGCCTGCGCGCGCCGCTCTCGGAACGGCTCGCCGCGGGCGGTGGCCGCGACAAGTCGCCGCCAGGTGGGCTCGAGCCACACGTGTGGAGAACGGGTGCAATCATATGGAGCGACAGGCGAGACGAGGCCTGACGAGGGAACTGACATCTGCATCATGATCTGGCAGGCTCTGGCTGCTGTCGTGCTCACTATCTCTCTGATTATATGTTTTTTGTTTCTCTCTCTCTCTCTCCGCATCTTATAGATTCCCCCTTCCCCCTCTCTCTTTCTCTCCTTCTCTCTGTCTCTTTCCTCCTTTCCTCCCACAGACCTCCTTCGCTCTTTTCTCCCTCCTCGCTCTTTCTTCTCCTGCGTTCTCCTGCTCTCTCTCCCCAACTGGATATACCCTCCGTCTCTCCTGTATATCATCGCCCTCGTACTCGTTCCTCCCTCCTACTCGGCCTTCTTCTCCGTTGTCTCCCCCCTCCATCCCTACTTCTCCCTCGCATCCTTTTCCTTAACTCTGCTGCGACCCATCCCTCCTCCTGCTTCCCCTTCTCATCGTGCTCCTGCTCCTCCTCCTCCTCGTCTTCCTCCTCCTCCCTCAACTCGACCTCATCATCATTGTCCTCACCATCACCACATCATCAGCAGCAGCAGCAGCATCATCATCATAATCATTATAATCATCATCCCTGCCCCCGGCCTTCCTCCATCATCCATCCTTCCCCCATTCACCTGTTCCTTTTCCCCCTTCTCCACTTCCTCGTTCTCATGCCTCCGCCTCCTCATCCACCTTCCCCAGCCTCTTCACACCTCAAAATCCATCCTCCTGGAATGCTCACCACTCGGGTTTCTGAAGCGGCCCCAGGCTCCCGGGGTCCCTCCTCGGGCTGCTCTGTAGGCACCCATCGTGTTCCCGAGGGGCAATAATGGCCAGAAGGGGCCCTCGTTTCGCACCCGAGGCCCCTCCGGCCCAGTCTCTGACTGCACTCGCACTCCTCATCGTCGTCCTGCCCCTCGTCGCCGTCGTGGTCGCCGCTCATCGGCGTCGTCGTCCTGCCCTCCTCGTCTGTCCCAGCTTCTTGCCCGAGCCCCCCTTGACGGCGAGTCTTTGCACTCGGTCCCTGGTCCCCGCACGCGCCCTCGACGCCGCTCTGCCCCCCTCGCCGCCGTCGTGGCCGCCGCCCTGCGGCGATGGCTGGCGCCCCTCTTCCCCTCCTGCGTGCCGCTGCCGCCGACGCGCCGCCCTCTCGCCCGCCTCGCTGTCCCCCTCCGCCCCTCCCCTCGCCCACCCCTCTGGCGTCGCGTCGTCCCCCTCCCTCGACCTCCTCCTCGCTCTCCTCCCTCACTGCTGCCCTCTCCCCCCTCGTCCTCCGCCCAGCCCCCCCCTCCGAGCCGCCGTGCCCCTCGCCGCGCTTCCGCCGCCGACGCCGAACGGCGCCGCCCCTGCCGCGGGGGGGGGGCCTGGCAGGACCAACGACCGGTGGAGGAGCACACCGCACCGCGTGGCAGGGCCTCGTGCGGGCGCCCCGCGCCGCCGCCGGCGTCGTCGCCGCTGCCATGGGCGGGGGTCGGCCTCGCTCGTCGTCGATCGCTCCGCTCCTCCTCGTCCTCCTCGTCGCCGGCCCTCGTCGGCTTGGTCGTGCCACGTCGTCGTCGTCGTCGTTGTCGTCGTCGTATCTCGTCCTTGTTCCCCCCCTTGGCCGCCGCCTCGGGCGGAGGAGGCGGCGGCGGAGAAGCAGGAGGTGAATATTTGGCGAATGTGGGCGAGGAGGTGGCGAACCTTGTCCCTTGTCAAGGGGCTATCCTTGGGAGCGCGTGGATGAAAATTTGTAGGCTGTGCTGTGGCGTAAAGCTTCATGCCATTGCACTAACACAAAGGCCCCAAGGGATGTCGCTAAAGCTCATGAGGCGTCGTTCCGATTCTGGGGGACGGCGAAGGATGAAACAAAGAAACGATCAACAACTGAGAAACGAATGAGCGCAATGCTGCCTGGGTCAAGTCGTCATCGTTCTCCTCCTGCTCTGTCGGTGCGATCTCCTATCTCTCACCCTTCCATATTGGTATACGTATATGTGTTTCGCATTTCTTTGGGCTAAAGTTGGTTAAAGCCCACTCGGACATATCGTGTGATGTTTTTGTGATCTAATGGCCTTCGGCCTATCCCGCCATCGTATTGTATTGTCTTGTCCTGTGTTGTCTTGTCATGTCTTGTCTTGTCTTGTCTTGTCTTGTCATGTCTTGTCTTGTCTTGCTCTCTCCGTCGGTCTGGCCTCCCCTGCTGCTGCTGCTGCTGCTGCTGCTGCTGTTGCTCCACCCGTCCAGCTCAGAGGATATCGAACTCCTTGCAGTCTGGATTTGTACGCCGCCAGACTTGGACGCGTCGGCCACCGCCACTGTCGCTGCCGCCGTCACCCGAGTCGGTGGCCCTGACGAGGGGGTGACGGCGGCAGTGGCAGTGCCGAAACGCGCCCAGAGTCCAGCAAGGCATGAGGGTGCAAACCCGATTTGTTTGGCTGATGCTCTGAGGGGGGCCGTGCTCAGGGGAGGCTGCAGCACCGCTCAACGAGGTGCAGTCAACGAAACCTGCAGAGATGGCCCTTTCCATTCCCCTGTGCACGTCAGCTCGGCTTCAGCTTCAGCTGCCGATGCACCGTGAAGCGCCTTCGGGCCAGCTCACCCGAGTCGGAGGTTCCGCTCGCACAGGTGTCACCCTCCCCTCTATCCCGCTATCGTTCCTGGGTGGCGGGTCAGAGTCCTCAGAGATGCCTCCTGGGACTTGGAGCGCTCTCGGAAGCCTCTTGAGCCTCACGGGGGCCTTTTAGGGCTTCCCGGTGGCCTCTGGGGGGCCTCTGGGTGGATCTTGGTAGCATCTTTGGGACCTCTGGGGCCTCCTGGGGGCCTCCCGGGGCCGAGAGCTTAAAATGTCCGTTCGGGTTCCCCGTCGGGGCCTCATTTTGGAGCCGTCTTTGAGCGCCTCTTGGGCCGTCTTGGGCGCCTATTGTGTCGTTTTGAGGGCATCTTGGGCCGTTTGGGGGCCCTCTTGGAGGCCTCTTGGGCCGTCTTTGGACGATTTCGGGAGCCTCTCGGGCCGTCCTGGCGTCGGGAAGCCGAAAAAGGCGAGAACGCCCAAATCCTCCAAAAACCCTTGAACATCCATGATTGTTGCGTCTTGGAAGGCCTCTTTGGGCGTCTTGGGGGCATCTTCGACTGTCTGGCGGCCATCTTGGGCGTCTTGGACCGATGGTTCGACGAGACGGGACCCTCTTCGGCCGTCTATGGAGCCTGTCAGGTTCCTCTCGGCCCGTCTTGGAGCTCGCCTGGCGCCCCAGAAGCTCCGGCGACGCACCCTGGCAGGGCCCGGGACCGCCTGGGAAGCCGGGGTCCTGGGTCCGGGCCCTGTTGAGAACCACAAGGCCTCGACCTCTCAGAGCTGCATGAGCCTGGGGGCACCCCACTGCGTGCCGAAGGTGCGGTGCGGGATGCGTTGGGTTTCTGATATGATGTGTGTTTTTGGTGTTGTTCATGTCTTTATGCTGCGTTGCCGACATGTGCCTTCCAGTGAAGGGGTACTCCTACTTGGGTCGCGCTGCTTCCGCGTTTCCACCGCCAACAACATCACCACCGCCACCTCAGCGCTTCTGTCCTTCACCCTTTCTGGTACCGATATCTTTCCCACCACCTCTCCATCCCTCACTCCCTCGTCCCTCCCTTTCTCTATCCCTCCTTTCTCGTCTCTCGCCCTCCTGCGTGGCAGAGGGAGGAAGGTGATCGTTCTTTTAATACCTCCAGAGGTAACGCGTGTTACCCCCCCCCCCGCCCCCCCCCCCGTAACGGTATCGCTTGCAAACAACAGGCGCACGCGTGAATCCTTGCAGCTTCCACAGGACATTGTAAGGAGTACACAGGCGCTCCAGCGAACGCAGGCATGGACGTGCACGCAAGGCCAGTGCACTGCGATGTGCACGGGCACTGTGGTGCACGCAGGCGCTGTGGCGTACACGTACGCTGCGGTGCACATGGTTACTGGTAGTGTATGCACGGAAGCACTGTTGGGTGCACAGGCGCTGTGGGGCACGCGGATGTTGTGGTGTACTCAGGCGTTGTAGCACCTAGTGTGCGCAAGCGATGCGGTGCAGCATGGTGATATCAGAGGAGGAGGGACACGGCGATGAGGAGGAGGCGGAGAGGGAGGAGGAGGTGGGAAGGGGGAGGAGCTGGATAACAGCATATATTCGCAGCTCGGTGGCCCCACTTCGGGGGGGTGGGGCTTGCGGGCTCTGGCTGTCGTCCGCTGTTGCCTCTGGCCGCAGACAGCTCATTGGCGCAGAGAGGGCGCGGCGGCGACCCCAGCTCGGGCGGTCAAGGTTGCGACGCGCCCGGCCATGGGGGGGGCCTTCCGGGCTCCAGGATTCTCAGCGTCGACCCCGCGGGGTGCGAAATCATGGCTCAATATCGGGCCGAGGGCTTCCGGTTGCGTTGATCGTTCAAGATTCAAAACTCCACGCAGTTCAAGCGCAACGTGGTGTTCCCAAGCTCTGGTCCCCGATCACGACGACGTTGTGTGTGACTACATGATGACGACGAGGACGAGGACCACGGCGGCGGCGCCGACGGTAACAGAGACGACGAGAGCAGCGCCGACGATCGTGACGACCGCGGCGACGGTGACGACGACAACGTGCCACCTCCCGCCGCCGCGACCACGACAACGACGTCCCTGATGATTGTGAGGACGGCGGAAACGACTGTCATGACCACGGCGACGAGGACGACGACGTCGGTGATGACATCAGTGCCGGCGACGAGCAAGACGACGCCGCTGGCGTGGACGCCCACGCGCACGACGATGAAGACATCGACGGACGTGGTGACGACGACGACCGCGGCGACCCCGAAGCCCGCAGAGGCTCCGCTGCGGCCGAGCGACCGCGCCTCTCCTGCATGCTCTTCAGCGGCCCGCACCTCGACAACGTCGCGCCCTGCCCGGCCGGCGCGGCCGGGGGCCTTCTTCCGTCTGCTCCTCCTGCTCTCGTCCTTCCACCTCGTCCTCCTCCTCTCCCGTCCATTCTACACCGCTTCTCCTCTGTGCTCTCTCTCCCTCTCCCCCGTTCCTCGTCCGCCCGCTCTTCTATCCCATTTGGTCCAGCGTCTGCTGACAGCTTGGGCCGCACTCCGCAACGGCCACGGTCATCGGCATCGGTAAGGCCACGGTCTACTCCAAGCCCGAACGTGGGGGGTGGCCCTTCTGATTGGGGCGCTGTTGGAGGAGAGTCGAGAGGCGGAGACGGAGGCGACGGAGGCGATGGTGATCATGGACTTCGCCGTGGTGCCGGATGGCGTCGCCGGGCTTCGGTGATGATCGCGCGGGAGATCAGGAATGTCCTCGAGGTGAAGACCGTTGCCCATGGTCTGCAGCGGGGCGATTGGCGAAGGCTCCGAGCCACCATTGTACTACGTTCCCCGAATGTTCCACAGCTCCTCCTTTTCCAAAACACCGAACAGCTCCTTAGTTTATGCCGCTGCCGTTCCGGATCGAGACGCTTGTGTCATGTGTCCTGCTGTGTCTTGTACCGGTTCGCATTATGCCCCGTGGTGCCTTGTTCGGTGCTTGCTTATGGAGGCCTTCGTCTTCAGCATCATGGTGGTGCTCTTCTGCAACCTTTCTGTAGTCAAGATAATCATGTTGAGGGGCAAAGCCCAATCATAAGCGACATTATTGATCAGATGTGTCACGAAGGTGCATAAGGAAGAGCAGGAACGTTTTGAGGATGGGCCCGTTCCTGGGACAAGCCAGGTTCCCCTACCAGCGCCTCGTACCGTCGTCGTCGTCGACGGGCCCTGGTCGCAGATTCGTGGGCGGGCTGCTCTGCCCAGCTCTGCGCTGGAGGCCCTGGAGGTGACTTCTTCCGATGATGGCGTGAGCTCCCGCGTGCAGCGTGGGAGGTCCTCCACTGTTTCCACGGTGGCCTGGCCGAGGCATGAGTCAGGAGGGGAAAAAACACACAGACACAATTGATCGCCGATTCCCCAGAACATATAGGAAAATATGGGAAGTGGGGGGGAATACAAACGAGCGTGTGATCGAATATTTGTGCTGTGCGTTGAGGGTGGGCTGCGAATACGTCGTGCCGGACACTGGCACAAGCGTGGAGAGGTGGAGATCAGTGAAGATGTGTGCCGCAGTTGTGAGACCCGATTCGGTTGGGCAATCTCGGTTAGCATCAGAGGACTTCTGTGGATGCTGATGTGACTGGGAACAGGCGAGACTTCTTGGCATACCGGGCCGCTACAGTGGACGGGAGTGGCGGGCTTCTCTTGGTGTGCGCCTCTTGGCCGCCTCGTGGCCGCCTCGGCGCCCAGTGTGCCAGAGGAGTGTGGTGGGTTCTCGCCCGTGCGCCAGCTGGGTTATGCCGAGGCTTCGCCCGGTCGGTGGCCCTGGGCGCCTCGTGGGCGCCCCGTGCGCTGGCATGGGCGTGTCGAGGTGTCGCTCGGTCCGCGTGGCGTGGGCGTCCCGTCTGCTGGCGTGCAGAGCTTCCGCCTGGTTGGGCGGCCGTGTGCGCCTCGCGGGCGGCTCGCGCCGTGCGCGTCATACTGCTTTCGCACCACATAGCTCGCAGCGCTCTGTTGTCCCACATTATGCGCTTGCACCGCAAATCTTGTGCCATGCAGCCTGCACCGCACATACTTAGCTGCCACCACAGTGCCTTACACCACACCGACTGCACCGCACAGCCTGCTTCGCACATAGAGGACCCTAAGCCGTTTGCAGTGCGCGTGGATTTCACCACGCGGCGCACACCGCATTGCTTGCAGTCCCAGGATGCAATACCACGCTGGCAAACGTGACACTGACACGTAGTAGTCGTCACGGGTGCCAATGCCGTCTCCGCACCAAGCTCCCTTTCGGCGTGTTCTTCGCGTCGGCGCGCTTGGGAATGGAAAGCCTCGTGGTCCCGCATCATCACTTCAGTCCTAGCTCAGACACAGCCGTCGTACGAGCGAGTCTTCAGTCGAAGCGGCAAATGAAGTTATGGTTTCCTCCTCTGCTTCCACATGTAAACAAACATGCGTCTCCTCCGCCTCATGTCCTCATATTTCCGTTTTGGATCCTCATCTGTCTGGTCTTCTCAGATCATCATTCTTGTTATTATTGTTTGCTTCTTCTGCTCATCTCCCTCCTGCCGTTGTCATCCTCTCCTCCTCCCTGCTTGTCCTCCCCCTCCTCGTTTTCGAAGTTGCTCTCCTCCCCTCTGATCCGCCCTCTCCTCATTTTCCTCCTCCATCTCCTCTCCTCTTCTCCCCCACCTCCTTCTCCTCGTCCTCCTCCCTCCTGCTTTTTTTCTTCTGCGCAGGACGATGGGGATCCCCGCCCCAGAACCCCGCTCAACACCATAGGCCAGCAGGACGCCCATGGGGCCCTGTCGCCGCGCGTGAGGAAAGGCGTGGCAGGCATCAGACAGACGCTCACGTAATCGTCCTGCCGCTGGCGCAGCACCGCGGGGAGGGTCGGGGCCGGGGGCCCTTCCGGCAGCTGGGCTCGGCGACGCGTGAGAGAGTGACCCCTCGCCGGATTTGCTCTCGGTGCCTGCCCACAGGCGTGGCCCCCGCATTGGCCTGCGCGCCCCGACTCTGGCCCTTCCAGGGCCGAGGCCCCTCCAAGCCGCGCGCCAGGAGCCACCTCTGCCCACGGTCCTTCTGGCGCGCAGGCGCTTGGTGGACTAGGATGCAAATCTACGGAGGTGAAATTCTGCATCGGCGCTGGCATTTTCGCGGTCGAAAGACGGCTCAATCTGGGCGGATCATGTTAATCCGGCCCAATCCCGCCTATTCACGCTTACCCCCGCTTGATCCGGCCCCACCCCGGGCTTAGTCCGGCCTGATCCAGCGAACTGGCCCGCTAATTTGGTGCAACTGCCTTCAATCGTTCCAGCGAAGACCTCCCAGGAGGTGCCTCCTAAGTGGGTGGAGCTTGCAGGGCGGTCAAAACGGCCTTCTGTTGGCCACGCCGCGGTCTCAGAGCCAGTTCGGCGACAAGGGCCTCGGCTATACACTCGGGGGTGGACAGACCTCCTACCCGGACACGTCGATTAGTGAATTGGCCGTTTTCGGTTCGCGAGAGGGCGTCGCGGCCGTCATTTTTGCGGGTCCAGGTCCGTCCGTTTCGGTCCCAGGCCGTTGTCACTAAAGGGAGGTTTACTAAAGGGAGGTTCGTCCACCGCCGATACACGCCGTCGTTGAAAGTAAGTCTGTCGGGACTCCCAGAATCCGATCTACTTCAAGCGCCTTCCCACCTCAAGAGCCGACAAGGTTTGGCCGTCGCTTTTTTCTTCGGGCGGGCCCGCGCCCAAATCCGCGTGGTCCGCCTTCGTACTTCCCGCTTCTGCCCGCCTTGTCCGACCAGCGTGCAGTCCGCGCCGCGCCCCCGCTCGGGCCGGCGCCGCGGCCCAGGGGCCCTGCGGCCGCGGCGGGTTCGCGCAGCGCCTGCGCGGCGGTGGCGCCTGCGCGGGCGCCCGGGCACAGGAACGCCCTGCGGGTGCCCCATGCTCCCCGGGGAGGCGAAGCTGTACGGCCGGACCGAGGAATATAAGATCGAGGTCGGCACGGGCAGGGCACCCTCACGTGTTTCGTGCTTGTCGAGAGAGTGTGTGTTCTTTAAATGCATCCTGGGGGAGGACACCCTCGAATGGAAGAAGATGCGGTCGGACCGAGGTATCAGATCGAGGCCGGTACGGGGAGGGTTACTCTCATGTTCTTCGTGTCTGTGGAGTGTTGCCGTGCATCCTGCATCCTGGGGGAGGGTGCCCTCGAGGGTGCTTCGGTTTGGCCGGCGGATGGGTCTCTTGTGTTCTTGCCGGATGCTCTTCTGGCCTGGGTCCGGCCGTGCACCGCTACTACCGCGCCCGCGTCACCATGGCCGGATTACCCCGGCAGTTCTGGTCAGAATGCACCCCGGGCGGCGGCGTGGCGTCTGGCGTCTCGGGGCGGCGCCGGCCGCAGGGCGGGGCCCCAGCAGCGCGTGCAGCCCAGCGGCGGCGGCCGCGCCCCAGCGCAGCGCGGCGGCCAGCGCCGGGACCGCGAGCCAGGCGGCGACCGAGAGGTCCGCGGAGCAGCGGTGTCCGTGCCAAGGTTGCACCCCAGATGCGGGCCCGGGGGCCCTTAGAAAAAAAAATGGGCCCACGGCGCGAAGTCGGTACGACAGGTTCGGCAAGAGGCTTCGAGGGTGCGCATCGCTCATAGTAGGACTTCTCGTGCGGCTTGATCTAGGCCTCCTAGATGGGGTCAGAGGAGATGGGGTCGGAGGATCGCGCCGCATCGCCGATGCATCGACGATGCATTGCCGATGTGGTTCAATGTGGATCCCGATTTCCTTCACGCAGACGTCGCCGATGCATCGCCCACGTCGCCGATGCATCGCCAGTGCATCGGCGATGCATCGCCAATGCATCGCCGATGTATCGGCGATGCGGCGCGATCTTCTGACCCCGTGTACTCCGACCCCATCTAGGAGGTCTCTACTTGAGCAACCAGGGCCCGCATTGTTCCATTGAGAACTTGCCGTGCGTGCCATCAGGGAAGGAATTGGGAGGGAGACACGGAGAGGAGGGGCGAGGGCGAGAGAACCTCGGGTGAGGCCTCTGTGAACCTCGAGGGGCGTCCCCGTGCGCCAGTCTGCGCGGCCATGGTGCACAGCCAGCAAAAGCGTCGAGATGGGACTCTCTATGGCGAGCCCCTTGACTCCGTCGGTTGGCCTGCCAAGACTTGTGAGGCTGGCAGCTCACGCGCCGACACACGCAGCATGTGCCGAATCTGGAGGTGCACTGGATTCACTATGCTGGTTGACTCCGGCGGGCCATCACGTGCCAGGCTCGGACCCTGCCCGCCGTTGACCTGCGCACGGGCCAGGCGGCCAGGCTGAACACTACCACCCGTACCATGAGCTCTGGCTGCCGCATCTGCGATCACTGGGCTGTGTGTAGTAAGCGTCTAATTCCGCGCACGGGGCGGGCTCTAGGCGGCTGGGCGGACCATTGCCACCCGTGGCAGGAGCACTGGCCGCCGCATCTGTCGGTGCTCGCGCTTCATGCGCGGCCGCCCCGTCCTACAGGCACAGCCTCGCAGCAGCTCAGATGGTGAGCGAAGGGATGGCGTGCCACCCTCCGCGCGAGGGCCCCGGGGCCCAGGGGGCTGGCATTCCGACGGGGGCTGAGGGCGGGCGTGGATGAGGCCGACAAGTTCGAAGCTTTCGGTGCCCCCAGCGCCACGACCTCTACAGTGGGCGCACCAACTAAGAGACCGTCTTGCCCACGGGTGCCCAACACTCAGCGTATCTCCCGATTGGGCCCGCAGAGCCCAGGCGCATCTTACGAAGCTCAGGGTCGGCGACGAAGCTCAGGGTCGGCGAAGGATGTGCGTGCGTGCCCACTGTGTGACCACCGTACGTGTCCACTGTGTGACCACCGTGGCTACTGCGTCACGGCCGCCACCATCTTGCAAGGTCAATGCGTGCCACTGCCGCGCTGCCATCGTGTGACACCAGCTTGCGTCCCCGCCTCGGCCACGGGGCACCTCACGCCAGCGAGCAGCGCTGAAATGCTGGGGCTGCTGGCCAGGAAGGTGGCGACCCCTGCCTTCCTCTACCCTCTCCGCGGCACGTGCAACAGGGTCGCTGCCGCCGTCTCGGGCGTGGGCGGGGGCCACCGCTGTGAACTCAGCGGCGCCGCCCGCCGCGGCGCGGCGCACCAGGGATTCGTCGAGGGGAGCGACGGCCCCCCCTCCTCTCCTCGTCGCCAGGAGGTCCCGGCGGAAGGCCTTTGAGCGTTTTTGGTCTCTGGGCGCCCTGTTGCGGGGCCCCCTTGGGGCCGGCCAGCAGCGGCCCCGGACGGAAGGCTGGCCCTGGAGGAGAGACGCAGGGCTCGAGCTGAAGGGCGTGCTGGCAGTTCCGTGGGCCGTTTTCGCGTCGATCGCGCTCTGCAGCAGAGGCCGGACGAAGACCGGACGAGGGGAGACGAACACAACACGAGCGCGGAAAGCGCCGTGCAGGCAGAGCTCCGGAGAGCAGGCCCGGGCAGCGGTGGCCAGAGGGGGTGCCACGCCGAGAGGGAGAGAGAGAGAGAGAGAGAGAGAGAGCAGGAGCCGGGCCGTGAGATGCCTGATGAGAGCCTGGGCGGAAGAGCTGCGGGGCGGCCCGGAGCGACCTCAGGCAGGGCTCGTTTCGATTCCTCCGATCCGATTCGTTTCAATGTTGAGGGCTTCCGATTCCGATTCGATTCGGCTTCTGGTTTCGACTTGGGCTCCGATGTCTCGAAGGAGACCTACCAGCCTACCGACCTCCGCCGCTTCGACGTCTCGCGACTCGGCTGCCAGTTCCCGCCGATCCGACTTCATTCCGATCGCCGCTCCGACTCCTCGATTCGGTTCTGGGCTCTCCTGCCCAGGTCATCGGGCCCATCCCCACCTGCTGCGACGCGAGGAAGCGTCCGCTGCCGGGGGCCGCGCCCGCGCGCGGCGAAGCTCCTCTCGGCCGGTCGCACGGGGCGGCGGCCTCTGCGACGACGGCGGCGATGACGTCGGCGCCGACGCCACGGTGCTTTGGTGGCTCGCTCGCCGTCTGCGCGGGGTCTGCGTGCGGACGGGGGCGTTGACGAACAGGGCTAAGGAGGAGGAGGAGGAGGAGGAGGAGGAGGAGAAGAAGGAGGAGGATGAGGGGGAGGAGGAGGAGGAGGAGGAGGAGAGGAGGAGGAGGAGGAGGAGGAGGAGGAGGAGGAGAGGAGGAGGAGGAGGAGGAGGAGGAGGAGGAGGAGGAGGGAGGAGGAGGAGGAGGAGGAGAGGAGGAGGAGGCGGAGGAGGAGGAGGAGGAGGAGGAGGAGGAGGAGGAGGAGGAGGAGGAGGAGGAGGAGGAGGAGGAGGAGGAGGAGGAGGAGGAGGAGGAGGAGGAGGGAGGAGGAGGAGGAGGAGGAGAGGAGAGGGGAGGAGGAGGAGGAGAGGAGGAGGAGGAGGAGGAGAGGAGGAGGAGGAGGAGGAGGAGGAGGAGGAGGAGGAGGAGGAGAGGAGGAGGAAGGAGGAGAGGAGAGGAGGAGGAGGAGGAGGAGGAGGAGGAGGAGGAGGAGGAGGAGGAGGAGGAGGAGGAGGAGGAGGAGGAGGAGGAGGAGGATGAGGGGGAGGAGGAGAAGGTGGAGGAGGAGGAGACGGCAACGGGAGTGCCTCAGGTGGGAAGTCCTGGAGGCCCGTCGGCGCTTGCCTCCTCAGAACTTACGCAAGGTGGATGGGAGGTAGGGAGAAGGAGGCGGAGGAGGAGGAAGAGGAGGAGGAGGAGAAACAAAAACACATCCCGACCCCTCTCGCGGCCCTTGAAGCCCCCATCCCTCCCCCTCTCTGAGCGGGGTGGCTGCACACGCGGTCGCTCGCCGTTGCGCGCGCGCTGCGTGCTCGGGTGGCTCGGCGCCTGCGCTCGTCTCGCTTCGTGCCCGTGCACGTGCGTGCGCACTCGTGTCGCAAGCACGAGCGCACGTGCGCACGGGGCGTCGACCTCGGGTGGCTGCGGCTGGCGCGAGAGGGCCACAGCGGACAGACCCGCGCCCGCTCGCATGCGCGAGGAGGAGGAGGAGGAGGAGGAGGAGGAGGAGGAGGAGGAGGAGGAGGGGGAGGGGGAGGAGGAGGAGGAGGAGGAGGAGGAGGAGGAGGAGGAGGAGGAGGAGGAGGAGGAGAAGGATGAGGGGGAGGAGGAGAAGGTGGAGGAGGAGGAGACGGCAACGGGAGTGCCTCAGGTGGGAAGTCCTGGAGGCCCGTCGGCGCTTGCCTCCTCAGAACTTACGCAAGGTGCATGGGAGGTAGGGAGGAGGAGGCGGAGGAGGAGGAAGAGGAGGAGGAGGAGAAACAAAAACACATCCCGACCCCTCTCGCGGCCCTTGAAGCCCCCATCCCTCCCCCTCTCTGAGCGGGGTGGCTGCACACGCGGTCGCTCGCCGTTGCGCGCGCGCTGCGTGCTCGGGTGGCTCGGCGCCTGCGCTCGTCTCGCTTCGTGCCCGTGCACGTGCGTGCGCACTCGTGTCGCAAGCACGAGCGCACGTGCGCACGGGGCGTCGACCTCGGGTGGCCGCGGCTGGCGCGAGAGGGCCACAGCGGACAGACCCGCGCCCGCTCGCATGCGCGAGGAGGAGGAGGAGGAGCCGCCTGTACAACCCGAACGCTACGCTCATATCCATCGAAGTCCGCCCAACGTCAAACAAAGTCCGTTTAATGTTTGACCACCCCAGGATCGATTGGGAACTTAGCAGAGAACAACAAGACGAGCTAAGAGGCGTCCATGAAAGCCCCACTGGCGGTGACCCCACGGTGACTTCAGATTCCTCATGCGGCTGCAAGAAAGCCTCCAAGATGGTTACGGACTGCCACCGGGGAAGCCGAAAATGCATGAACAACTCATTGCGCTTTCGCTGACTATTTGCCCAATATTGTTTTTCTCAGTCGTCGTCGCTTTTGTGAAACTCTGAAGGACCCTTGCGGCCCCCAGCCAGTCGAATCAGTACCCCAGGAGGACTCCACTGGTTAACGGGCGAGGGTTTGTAGAACACAAACGTTTCCGCCGTCGGGGACGCTTGCCCCAGGGTGGCTGGAAAGTTTATACCCTTAATGTGGCAGGTCAGGGTATAGCCGCCCTGGGACAGGCGTCCCCGACGACGGACAAGTTTATGTTGTATTGTCAATGGCCCCCAAGACTGGAGAGCACAAGAGCCCCCCGAGACGTTCCCTAGATGGCTGCCCGTAGGCCCCGAGAGAGGCCGCGGGATCCTCCCCGTGAGGCCCTCGCGAGTTACCACAGGACGCCACGAAAGGTCCCAACAGGTACCCTCTTGAGGCCCCCAAGCGGAGGCGAGTCGGGTGGGGAAGTGAGAAGGGGCGAGCCTTCTCAGAAGGATCGGAATTCCCCCAGCCTTCTCAGAAGGCACAACAAAACATGTTCAGAAGGCTGGAGGACTTCTGAGAAGCCGCGCCGCATTCTGAGAAAGACTCCTCATTTTCTCTTCAGGTGGCCAGGGATGCGCATTTCCCTGGACTGGGTACGCGAACGGATGGCACGGCCAGCTCCTCTTCCTCTGGTCAGCTATCGACCCAGGTGGCCAGGGAGGTGCATTCCCCTGGACTGGGGCCCCAGGTGGCCTTCGTCGAGGAGGCGGAGCGGCGAGCCCAGCAGGATGATGAGGAAGCTGATGCATTGGGGGTTCTTGATGGCTTATCGAGTGGACCTGACAGGCAGCTACTGGCCCAGGTGGCCGGAGAGGTGCATTCCTCTGGACTGGGGGCAGCTACTTCATCGGAGGCCAGTGGTGCACGTACGGACGGCGGGGGCTGCGGGCCGATCCGTGAGGGAGATCGGCCGAACCTCGCGCGAACCGTTGGTCCCAAAGCGGCTCTCGCCAAGGCCCCTGCCGTCACGGAGCGTAAGGTAGCAGGTGTTAGAACGCACGTCCCAGCCTCCAGGTGCACCCACGAGGCAAGCAGCGCGAGGGGCTGGGCTCAGTCGCCGAACGTGCTGCTGGGACCTGCCCCCCGGTGCCCCCGTGTGGTAAACAGCGAGAGGGGCAGGGTTGGGTCGCCAAGTTTTGCTGAGGCAGGCCCGACCGAGTCTGGTTCATTGGTGGGCAGGTATCCTGCGGTGCCCGTGGGCCCTCCGAGTGCCACGGGCCTTCGGGCCGCCGTCGGCGCGAGGCTGGGAGAGCGCGCCGTGCAGGTGGGGCCACGCGGGCGGGCCCGCAGCTGACTGGAGGGGCGGCGTGTTGGCCTGGGCGGGGCGGGGAGCAGCTCTCTGAGCACCCTATAGCCCCGCCGCCCGAGCCAGGGGCAGCCACGCGGCCGCTCCAGTGTTCGACGCCAGGAGCCTGCGGCTACGGGGATCAAACGACCAGGGCTGGCGGACTGGGTCCTCGGACTGGGTCCCTAGGTGGCCAGGGATGTGTGCATTCACCTGGACGGGGCACCCAGACGACGGATACGGCCAGCTCCCAGTCTGCACAGCTACTGACCCAGGTGGCCAGAGAGGCACATTCCTCTGGAGTGGGTCCCCAGGTGGCCAGGGACGTGTACTCCTTTGGACTGGGTGCGCGACGTACGCGTGGAGGTGATGAGCTGCGACCTGGTGTGGATGTGCCTAGAGATGCTCATGATGAGGGCGCGAAGCTCCAGGAGGCTGCTCTGCCCAGGCAGTCGCACGATGAGATGATCGGGGTGCCCTCGCAGCACATCCTCATCCAGCTCCCCCAACTGTCTGATGACGACCGACGACGGATTTGGGAGGGGGCGCGCGAGTGCCCGATTGATGAGCGATGGCCACAGCCCCCCGGCTACATCCGCGAGCACATGGCTTTTGTCACGGGAGCGGACGAGGCGATCGAGCTGGGCACCCCCCCCGCCACTGGCTCACCAAGCTGGAGCGCTCCTTGGTGAGCACCATGGGCCTCGAGAAGGAGGTGCAGAAGAAGTACCTAGAACGCGCCCTCCCAAGGACCCCAGGCCACACCCTTGAGAGCACCCAAGGGAGGAACGAATGGCACCAACCGCCCGGCAGCTTGGTGGAGCACCATGGCTGCCTGCGCGGGCATGTATACCAAGGCCTCTGCCAAGCCGACGTTGTCGGAGGCAGGCAGACACGCTTGATTCCCCCCCTGGTGAGGAGTGCGCAGATACAGGTCAAGTGGGCGGGCGCTACTCGACGGGCGCGGACGCGGGCCGAGCGACAGGCCAGTGACATGGCAGCTGCTTTAGCCGAGGTGGCTGGCAAGGCCCACCGTGCCGAGGTCAGGCAGAACGCGGTGGCCGTCCATGACTGGGTGCTGGAGTGCGCAGCCAAGCGGCCTGGCACAGTGGTGAACTGGACCAGAGACAAGACTCCCCCCGTCATGGGGGTGGGGCTCGCGGGCGCTCCACCCGAGGCGGGCCAGCTGAACCGTGCTGTCAGTCGCGACACCAACACCATGATGGAGATCAAACGGGGAAGGTGGGCAGACCGCTGGGCTGGCCGAGTCACGGCAGACAGCGTGCGACGCTTTCGTAAGCGATGCAGGAAGCTGAGCAACGAGCAGGACGTGTAAGCACCTACCGACCCGTCTGCCATTGCTGCTTTGGTGAGTGGCAGTCGACAGGCGACGGGGCGGGAAAGTGATAGTCCTGGTCCTGCTGACCTTCGTGCTGCACCTCATGAGTCGCTTGAGGAGCTGGCCCGCCTTTTCCTCCGCTGTGAGCAGCGGCAGACATGGCCCTGGCAGCTGCTGCTTGTCCTGGAGGCCATGGTACCCAAGCCAGCTGCGACGGGAAAGCGAGCGATTGCTCTCTAGCCTTCCCCCCTCCGCGTCTGGAGCCGCATTCGGAAGTCGGTCGGGGCCTTTCGGTGCAAGGAGGAGACTGGCTTCTGGGATCAGGGTGTCCGTGGGAGCTCTGCCCACCGCCGCGGCATGTCGCGAGTTTTCTTGGACGGGTCTGCCGAGGCGCGTGGCGTCTCTCACGGCAGCCTGATGTGGGACTCTGCCGGGTTTTATGGTTCCCTGGATCCCATCTTGGCCTTGTGATCCGCTATGGCTTTGGACTGTCCTGCGACCTCCAAGGGCCCTCCCCCGGTGCTTTACGCGCCCCTTCGGCGCATCAAAACCAGACGGGCGGTTTCTCGTCAAATCGAGCCCACGGCCCCCGTTCTCACTAGAGATGGAGACGGCAATAACTTTTCGAGAGCGGCGCTGCACGATGCGCTTGAGAGCGCGCAAGCAAGATTTTTCCGAGAGGCGTTGCCTCGGCGCAGTGGGTGGATAACACCAACCAGAGGGCCGAGGGGCCCCGTGCACGTCGTGACGGAGGCCCTTGCAGGCGCCGCTCTGGAATTTTGTAATGGCGCCGAGCCCCTGGGACTGAACATCTCGGGGGAGTCGGCGGCGGTTGCCGGCTCCTTGGGTCTCGCCAGGGATATCTCCCAAGCGGCTGCAAAGCAGTCCCAGGGCAGCTGCGCGCGATCAAGCCCTCTGGCACGGTGGCCGACCTTGGCCCGGGCCGGGGCGCGGGTCGCGAGCGACGTCGCGAGCGCGGAGCTCGCGCGGCCGTGTTTCTGAAGCAGCTCCGCAGAATGTCAGGCGCGGTTCCAAGGTGGGCCGCCGGCGTGGGGCTCGGAAAAAGTCAAGCAGTGGCGAAGCGTCCTGGCTCACCTATAGCCCTCCCAAACAGTATTCTAAGAACCTTGTGTGGCTTCCACGAAATGTTCTTAGAACATTTCTGGCGGAGTCTGTCTTGTTGTAACACATCGGGTTAATGTTCTAAGAACACGGTTTTTGCTCCTAGAGCATTTTTGGGTTCTAAGAACATTTCATGGTAGGACTATAGGAATGCCGGGACGGTCGGTCCCTGCTCCAAAAAGACTGCCACGCTGTATCCTGCTCCTCGTTGTCAGCGCGGCGCTTCTGCGCAGGGGGTGGCCCCCTCCGCGGCCTCGCGGGTCGGGGCTTCCATATTGGGTGCGGCCCTCGGGGGCCCCGGGAGAGGCAGGTGCCGCGCCGCGTTCTCGGCTCTGGAGTGTTGGGTCCTCGGACGCCCGCCGCAGAGTTGACCCTTCGACAGTTCGCGGGGTTCTTCGAGGTCACCGCCGACCCCCTTCCTGGCCCGAAAGATCCGCGCGAGACTGCGTCGGAGCTGGCCCGAGGTGGCTGGGGGGGGCTCCTCGGGGCCAAGGAGAACCGCCGATGGGCTCGGGTCTCTGGGGTCTTGGCCTTGGCGGCGCTGTTGGACCGCGGGTGGCCTCCGCGGGATCCCCGGAGCCTCGAGTTGTTGGCCCCCTCTGGTAGCCGTGGTTTTTTAGCGACTGCGGGCCGTTTGTTCAGGACGTTCTCGCGTCGGTCCGGGCAAATTTAGCGGCGTCGAGTGGCTAATTTTTGCCGAGGGGTTGGGGCTCAAGGGGGCCTCGTCCTCTATTCGTTCAACCAGTGGCTCCTTGCGCTGGATAAGAAAGGCTCCCAGTAGGCCCTTCGCTTCAGGGGCTCTCTCATGGCGGTGGCCACGGCTGCGACTTGGCCCAGGGGCCGGCTGCTCGACGAAGGTACGATTGAGGAGTGCAAGGCAATTATGTCAGCGCTGCTGTGCTGGTGTTGTCGAGACGGATGTCCATCGCCATTGGAAGCGCGCTGCCAATGGTCATTAGCAGGCCCGTGTAGACACGCAGGATGTGGAGGAGAGAGCCCTGGAGGAAGCCTCGCCCTTCCCCGTCTTCTGGCTGAGAGGCCTCCTGCCATCCAGCTGGACATAGGTCAACCCGCCAGGTGATGACCCCATCGAGTCGAGCTGGTCCTCCGCTGCAGGCGGCAGCGGCACGCGCCCTGGGACGTCGCGGTGGGAGGCGGAGGACGGGTCGGGTGGAGTGAACACTTGGGATCCTAGGCTCAGGCGCTGTGCCTGGAGCTGTTGTACCATAGCGGTTGCGTGTAGAAGTCCGGTCTGGACCCGGGTCTCCGACGTCCAGGGGCTCTCGGGAGGGGTCCCGGGACCCGTGCAGACCGGCAATCGCGCGGAGTTGTGGGCTATAGTTCAGTGGGTGGAGGTCTGCGCGGGTCCTGGGCGCGACCTTCATTTCATCGCCGACTCGAGCTACGCAGCTCGAGGGGTGTCGGCTCGCGGCCAGAGGCGGCGCACCAATCGGGACCCCTGGCGGCGCCTCTGGGAAGCTCCTGGCGAGGTGCAGCTGGCGACCCACAACGTGGAGTCTCACGCCGGCATTTCCATGGCCGAGTTTTTAGGCATCCCTGACCTTTGGAGGGAGATCGACGGCGTTGTTGACCGCCAGGCCGAGGCGGCCACGCATCGTTTCCAGCTTTCGGGGGCCGATGTCGATCGAGTTCAGGAGGCTGAGCAGCGTCCCAGTAGGATTAGGAAGCGTTTGGTGGCGGTGATGGAGGAGTGCGCGCGCGTGGATCCTCGGGTACGTACGTCTCGGATTGAGCACGGTACATCACGGCCCAAGCACCCTAGAGTGAAGCCGCTCGATCGTGCCTTGTCTGCCACATCTCATGATATCGTGCGGCCAGAGAGCCGACAAGGCAATGCGGGCTCCCGCTTCTCGTGTCGTCGCTGCCTGGAGAGCTGAGCCCTAAGCAGGAGTTCATCGAGTGGATGGCGAGCCCCTGCCAGACGGTGGAGCCGTTTGTTGCAGGTGATTCGTTCCCCGTGCCTCCAGGGACCAGGGTTGCTGACAGAGTCATTCACCCTGTAGTCACAAAGTTACGAGTCCATTCTCAGATTCCGGTGTTTTTCCATTCCAGTTGTGGGCTGTACTCGGCGAGGGAGAACGAGGTTTTGAGAGGCCCTCTTGCCTTCTTGTGATGTGTGGCCCTTTTACCAAGACGGGGCTGGGGAACCTTCAGCTGCTCGGGCGAGGGGTTTGGCCAGGACACTCCCAGGCGGTCAAGGCCTTGAGTCGGATGCAGCAGGCGTAACGGTTGCCCCTGAACGCTGCCCTTGGGCGGGCAAACACTCCTCCTCCTCCTCCTCCTCCTCCTCCTCCTCCTCCTCCTCCTCCTCCTCCTCCTCCGTGCCCTCCTCCTCCTCC